TTCGTAAAGAATTCGGTACAATATGAGAACATACATCTGGAGTTTTCTAAGCCGTTTAATAATCTCGCAGATCGTGTTTTATCGGGTCTAAAACCACTCGGCTACGCCTCGTGTTTTATACCCGATAAAACACTCCTCGTTTATTAAACAGTACTTAGTAACTTTCTTTGCAATTGAAGCGAAAATTTTACTCATGCCGAAAATACTACTAATGCCGAGGGAGATCGTGTTACCCCTGTCTAGGCTCGGCAGTGGTTCGTACACTAGCGTTGGTGCTGCATCTGTCATTGCTGTGTAAACACACTGCCACCCGACCTTTCAAAATAATTGGATTAAGTGAGTAGACGAGAGAACAATGGCAAGCAGGCTAGTAGCCTACCCCGGGGCTCTATATGAAACTTAAGGTGGATTTGATTAACCATATTAACTCTGGACGGTTGAATATTACTGACGTAAGGAGCATCGCGCGGTTGCGTTGTTGTTGGTATAGTACAAACAGAGTCAAGTACGGAACGGCCGTTAAAGAAGTAACGCTCATAGGCTATTCAAACCGTTTGACCTTTGGAATGAAAACGTCTGCATTACAACAGCGAACGAAGGAACACGGACGCAAGATAAGTAAACAAGTATAACGTTGATTTAATTCAAATAATCGAAAGGAAAAAAAAAAACCTATAGAAATCCAATGACATTCGGTGTCCTAGTGCCCTTGCTTGATGCTTATTGGTGGACCACAGTGGGTCAACCAAACAGGAAATAGATTAATTCCTTCTTCCAGAACAAGCTATAACAGACTTTGTGTCCAGTGGTATTTTTTCTGGGAGCAAGAAATAAGTGACAGAATCTTACCCCTGGGTTTATGGAGATATATTAATACAAGGCTGAAGAACAACATAAAAATGTGTAGTTTCTATTTTATTTGTTTTTAAAATATGGATTATTACTAAACTGTATCGTTTTTGATTGAATCAAACAGATCAAGATTCAAGGACAGAACCAAGAGATGCTTCATGCGGCATGTCAGCAGTTCCTTGGCAAGTCTACAGAACAAATGAGACACATTGCTTTGGAGACACTTGAGGGTCATCAGCGTGCTATTATGGGCACAATGACAGTTGAGGTACTTATAATATGTAGTACATGTACATGATCAATTGTCTTTTTTTTACTTTATTTATTCTTTTCATATGAGTTTTCAGTTCTATTGATGATCTTAATAAGAAGCATTTTAAGTTATTAATTTACCTATTAACTTATTAAAAGTACTGTGCTCCCTTAGTCAGTGTCAACAATAAATAATGTAAAACTCTTTGTTCTTTCAGGAAATCTACAGAGATCGTAAAAAGTTCTCAAAGAGTGTGTTTGAGGTAAAACAAGTTAGCAATAGTTGTCATAAGTTTAAAACATAGTTTTTTAGTAATATATCCTCACTGAATGCTCATTATCATGTCGCAGTAATTAAGTTATGGGGCATTATCCGGGACTGTTGTGATATGGACTGATAAACAGCAAGGCCACCACCACCATGCCTACTGTAGGGGAGGAGGGTGGGGCAAAATTCTGCTTCCGAAGCATGTACATAAACATAAATTATACTATATGTTAAGTGTATGCTACATCGAGTGTATAAGCAGATTAAAAAATCTGCCTCAGTTGGGTTCTTGCTTATACACTCAATGTAGCATACACTTAACATATAGATCTTTACCAAGTGACAAAAACACATTTCATTAATTCATAAATTCATTAACTTATTAATAGCCACTTTGTGGAAGAATGCACCATTAACTCCCATTTTTATTATTCATTATAATTTATTTATAAGAGTCAAGCCTTGTTTGCATAAAGTAGTAAATGTAGTGGTAGTGAATGTGAGTGAAAGCAGGCCCACATCATGAAGCCAAAACTACCAAAATGATAAGCTTGCTCTAACAAATAAAATATTATTATTATTATTTATTATTATTATTATAAATAGGTTGCCTCATCAGATCTTGTGAACATGGGAATCAGCATCGTCAGTTACACAATCAAGGACATCCGGGATGATGAGGTTTGATGCGGATGTTTTTATGGGGATCCTGTGTCAATTAGTTTATAATGAAATGTTCACTTCCATTCTGCCAGGGTTATCTCCATGCTCTAGGTATGGCTAGAACTGCTCAGGTCAAGAGAGATGCTCGTATTGGTGAAGCTGAGGCTCACAGAGACTCAGGAACAAAGGTAAAGCTATAGTTATTGACCCAATACAATGTTTTCCCATTAAAACTGTGTTTTATATTCCCTTTAGAATGAATTTTTATATTTTGGTTCTCAACCATGCTTTTTGTTTCGTCTAATTTAATGCATGATTGTGATCAAAAGTAGAACTGATACACGATTGGAATGACAGTAGATTGGGTCCCTAATTAAAAAAACCCATTAACATTGTAATAAGATTAAGATAATTTTCCTTACTCTCTTCAATACGAAAGAAATGCCACAAGTCCCATTATAAAAAACGTGATTTCTTTTGTATTTTCATAATTACCCTTGCATCCAAGATACTTATGAGAAGGTTGATTATTGTAGTTAATACATGTATAAGGATTTAGTACTTGATAATATTTTCCTGTTTTTATGTTATTTTTAGGAAGCACTTGCTGAAGAAGCAAAAATGAAGGCAAAATATGAGAATGATACTGAGATTGCCAAAGCTAAGAGAGACTTTGAGTTGAAGAAAGCTGGTTATGATATTGAAGTCCAAACAAAGGTATGACAATATATGAAAATATGAGAATATTTTATAAGTAATATTTCATTTCCGTAGTGGGTACTGTAGGTGACATATCAAAGATTTCCCATTTTTTGGGGGTGGAAGGGATACTTGGATGTGTGGGNAGGGGGGGGAAGGGGGCAGGGGGGACCTTTCAACCTTCCGTCGTCTGTCCTGAAAACAGATCATGCAAATTAAAACCTGCAACTGGAAGAGAGGTCCAAGAAAGGGTCGAGGAATTTTCATTCAACACTGTTCTATGACAAACATGCACTGAGAGGCTTTTAGGTTTACACCCCCCCCCCCCCCCCCCCCCCCCCCCCCTCCCCACACACACACACACCTCTTGTGAATCTAAGGAAAGTAATTATTCATGAAACCAAGCCCCAATTTAAAAGCCGTAATTTTGTTTGGTCATAATTTACATCAGCTCTCATAACTGAACTGGTTGATCATTTGACCAGTGTGGCCCTGCTCATGCTCTCTAATAAAACCTTCAGAAAAAGTCTTGTGATGGGGGCCAGAAAAACCTATCCGGCACTGCTTGTTTAGTCGTGCTGTATTTATCAGTTTAAACAGGAGTTTTCATTCTTTTTTTATCTACAAAATTTGGGTCATGATAAAATGCTGATAGACTGAGTTAGGTTTGGCCAGATGGGGAAATCTTTTGCTCTTGGTCATTCGTCCAAACCTCACTGCACTTGGTTATTATAGCATGACCTTGAGCCAAATATTTTTCTGCCAGCCCTCCTACTCATTCATTGAGTACAGTCATCTCTCACCTTGCGCACACCCTGCTATTAAGGGCAGGAGCAAAAACTCTGGCAAAAAATACTGAAAAAGAAATGATCATAATTAAATCTCACTATTGCAGATGCTCGCTGTTACAAGTTAGTAATGGTCCTGAGGGTGTCCGCTGTAGTGAGAGTTGACTGTAAATAATAATTGCACAGTTGTATCCAAGATAGGATGAAGCTGTCTTTAATCTGATCCTCCCTTTAAAAACATTCGTAGATTTGCCACTGACATAATGACCTGTCATATCTATCTGGTCTAAAGCAGGAAATATACRCCATGATTTGTCGGCCTCATTCATCAGGCAGACGTGATTGTGAAGCAAATCGTGAGTGTAGGTTAGAGACCAATTAAAGCCCGATTTGAAAAGTTAAATCAGCCTGATTCACAACATCTGTGTGACTGTCACAGATTTTATGATATCGGCCTGATTTTTCACACAGCACAGTAGGACATTCAAATCAGGCTTGGAATGGACACTAAATTTGCCCACTATTTGCTTCGCGATACGTTCTGGTAAAGAATCTGGCAGACAAATCGCGGCGAGTAGACGGGCCTTAATATTTGTGTTCATATCTTAATGTGGCTGCAATCTTTTTTTTAGAGCGCCCAATCCCAGCTTGCTTATAATCTTCAAGCTGCTATAACCAAACAGAAGATCCAAGAGGAGGACATGCAAATTAAAGTTATTGAGAGAGGCCAACAAATTAAAGTTCAGGAACAGGTACTGAATGGAACCAAATAGATAAGAAACTTTATAATATTATTATTGTTATTTGAGTTCTCTTGAGAGAGTGACACTTAAAAGGGACAACTGCAGTAAGCACTTAAAGTGGCAATTGGACGAAAATTGCTCCAAAATTTCTGTGACCCTCGGTCTAACATCCCTATTCCTAAATGAGAACTGCCATTTTACGTGGTCATCAAAGCCATGTGAAGGTCTAACTATGACAGATATTTATAGAGCATAGGAAGCACGACAGCATCTTCTTTTTACTAGATATTTTAAGGCCATGGGTGTTGGTGTGGCTGCAGCTTGAACCAGAAAAACTGGAAATTCCAGTTTGAAAAACAAATGCTACACTGTATGTGTCATTCTGACCAGAAAGTTCCGGAAAGCTCGGTCTTCCGATGTAGGTAATCTAATTGTCCCGCTCTTTTGGTTCTTCTGGTAGACTCTCATCCCGGTGAAAATCATCTATTAAGTTTTGTATTGTTCACAAGTTTGATTGAGTTTTCTAAGAATAACAAGACCTGATATTTCTAATCCTATCACACTAGAATAACCGGCAGATAGGTTGCCTTCAAACAATTGTTTTTCAAGCATTTAGGTCAATGCAATAAAGGTATAAAAACTGATGCAAATGCAAAGATTGCTTAAAGGCAATAGAGTGCAACACTAATATTTGCAATTGTGCTTGTTAGGAAATTTCTCGACGTGAGAGAGAACTAGAGGCCACTATCAGACAACCAGCTGAAGCTGAGAAGTACAGGCTTGAAAAAATTGCTGAAGCTAACAAGTATGTAGCAAGATGCAATTTCATACTTACTTTAAACAAAGCCGAGGCGAATCACTAAGCTGTGAGTTCTTTGATTCCAGAAATCGTATTGTTCTTGAAGCAGAAGCTAATGCCGAGGCTATCAAGGTAAGTGCCTTGTTCTGGAAGCATGATACAAGGGTTATATTCTCTATATCTTCAACTGTGTTGATTTTAACATATTTCTTAGTCTTAATTGTATGTTTCATCTGATTTGATTTATCTTTAGAAAATTATATCTAATGTTGCATTGTTTGCTGGGGCTAAGTTGTTTGATCCGCAGGATTCATTCTCTAAGTTGCATCCTCTATATTTTAATATTGCATTGTAATATAACATATTATATTAGAGCGGTTTTCGTATGAGTGCGAAACGATACGACAGATTCCAAATTTGTAGCCGTATAGAGGCTTTGCATCATCAGGCGATGGAAGCCATGACAAGAGGCAGGAACAATTGAATTTAGTCTAATGTGATTTGCATGAGAAAGAATACAGTTTCTCAGGGGAGAACGACTCTATTGTTGTGCCTCCTGTCATGGCTGCTATCACGTGATGGTGCAAGGACTCCATTGTAACCGTACCGTGTTTTACCGTAACCGTATCGTCTAAGTGTTGTGAATGGATGAAGTGCTGCAAAACAATGTAAAGCCATTTCAATGTCACGTCGTTTCTCAGGGGAGAACGACTGTATTGTTGTGCCTCCTGTCATGGCTGCTATCACGTGATGGTGCAAAGCCTCCATTGTAACCGTACCGTGTTTTACCGTAACCGTATCGTCTAAGTGTTGTGAATGGATGAAGTGCTGCAAAACAATGTAAAGCCATTTCAATGTCACGTCGTGTTGTACCATGTACGTGCTGTAAGCTATTACCGTGTGCGGTTTCCCATTCGTGAGAAAACAGTTCTCCTGTGAAGACTGTAGTTTTTCCGGAATCAACCTTGTGATTTCTTGTGTATAGATGAAAGGAGAAGCAGAAGCCTTTGCTATTGAAGCCAAGGCTAAAGCAGAAGCAGAACAGATGGCAAAGAAGGCTGATGCTTGGAAAGAATACCGTGAAGCAGCCATTGTTGACATGGTCTTRGAGACGATGCCTAAGGTAAGTAAACACTGGTCTTTTCCGTTTTCATCCTATCATAGAATGAAATACATTTTCTCTCGCATATTTTAGCTTTTTGTGCCAGTAATAATAAGTAAAATGCAACTACTGTTTGGAATACAAATGACGTTTATTCTCATCGTTGTATTATTATTGTTGTTGTTGTTGTTGTGGTTGTTGTTGTTGGTGGTGGTGGTGGTGGTGGTGGTTGTGGTTGTGGTGATGTTGTTGTTGTTATTTATTTATCATTGTCTTTTSCTCTGTCGTAGATTGCTGCTGAGATTGCTGCTCCCATCTCACATTGTAACAAGATCACCATGGTTTCCAATGGGAAGGGAGAAATTGGTGCTAGCAAACTAACTGGTGAAATCTTGGATATTGTTGCCAGGTTACCTAAGGCGGTAGAAAGCCTTACTGGGATTGACATCAGCAAGGTAAGATTGAATACGTATTGTTCTGTCAACCAACACGATAGGAAATACAATACAGTACTTTTCATTTGGTGGTCTGGAAAACCATAATTTCAAGAGGAAAATTGACACCTTAGTTTTGCACCATCTTGAAAAGTAGCGTGTCTTTGCATCGAAGCGAGACGAACGGTGAGCTTGCAATGATAGAGACCTTTTTTAAAACCTTGGACAGTTATTCACATGTCTCTGTAAATGCAAGCTCACCGTTCGTCTCGCTTCGATGCAAAGGCACAGCTACCTTTCCAGATGTCGCCGGGAACTGTGAAGGGGACTATTGACACTCTTAATTTTTGTTCAAGTGGTCCCGGTTAGTGTGAACCCACAGTAACTTAAAATCTCATTGAAAAATTCTCATAGTTTTATTATATTTTTTATTTTCAGGCAATGATGCTAGGAAACCGTGTATAATATTGCTTCTCTCAAATCTCTTAATTATAACAATATTCATAAAATCTTAATCGTTTTCAGAAAATATAACTGCACATGTCACATGACTTCTAGATGTATCCTTAGACTGATTGCATATTCCATGCTGTGATACACGATTTATTGAATACGATTGCTTCTCGTCATTCGTCAAAAATCGTACATTACAAAAGTTGTGTATAACTGTGTAATCTTATAGAAAAAATCAATAGATCTCTTGCAACACGTCGGAATGCAGCTCAATTTGGAGGACATGACAATAGATTTCCAATTCTCTGGAGATTGAAATTCTTTTGTTTTGTCCTCCAAATTGAGCTGCTTTAACTTCGCCTGCAAGGGGTCTATAGAGGTTTTGATCGTTTTCACATAAGTTTTACAACATTTTTTATCAGCCAAAATTCCTAAAATAACTGTTAAAAAATAATTAAGACCTTTATTTACATCGTGATACGGGGATTCGTTGCCGAGTCTCCGTACCTAAAGCTATCGTTTGCATTGGCGAGTAAAGCTTGCTGTATAGGCAAAAGCCTCCGAGAAAAGGGGCTTTAGAATAGTGAAATATGACGAAGACGATTCTCTCGTAGCTTTTATTGCCCATAGATATTATACCAACGTATCTTATCCATATGTAACATTTGCAGACTGTGCACAGAAGCGAGTTTCTCAGTGGGTCAGTACTAAATGGTAAATAATCAGTTGAGAATGATTTATGGAAAGCTTTTTTTCTCACCATCAGTTAAACTAATGTAGACACGACTATGGTCACTGGAGGAGTTTGTAAATTCTATTGCGAAAGTTGAATTAAAGTCGTGTGGCTGTATTACGTAAAGTTATGTGTGCTACTGCGCAATGGTTTCTCATCCAAACGACACACTTTTTACTCAAATGGTTTCCCATCCAAACGACCCTGTTTTCACTCTATTCCTTACCCTCTAATTTAATCACCTCAAATTTTTCGTTTTCTTCCAGTATTCAGCAGCAGCGCGTCGAAAGACTTTTCTTGCTTGCCTCATGACCGTCGATATAATGAAAATGCAAATGCCAAAGTCCAGTTCTTTCTATAAAATCCAATCTAAAGCACCCTTGTTACAGTTGTTTATCTTGTATTGAATTTGCATGGCCTTCAATGTCGTTCTCTTAGCAGAATTTCTTTACAGTCTGAATGAGTATTGCGGATGTTTTCTTAACACATAATCCGCCTCGGCAAATTTTTTCAATCCGGCCCAAAAATGTCAGAGATATCAAACTTAAACTTTGGCATTAAAGATCACGAAAAACTATTTTGTGTTATGAACATTTTCTTCGTCTGATTCGTTTGACTCGGCCATGCTAGCGTTCCGCTCAACAGTCGTTGAAAAATGAGATACGAATGACGTATAGTATAGACGCCAATTGCAATGCGGTGTGTGATATACTAAAGTTGCACTCTATTGCCTTCAAACAATTTGGGTCAATACATAATGAAATGCAACGACTGGCGGCACGGCAAAAATTTGTCTCCCTGCCACACCCTAATTCGTCCACTGTCACGCCTACTTTTGTTACGTGTATTACAGTGAATACCTTACTGGCAGTATGCTAGATCCGAGAAAGTGACAAAAGTAGGCGTGTCAGTATACGAATTAGGGTGTAGTAGCGAGACAAATTTTTCACGTGCCGCCACAGTTCGGTGAGATCCGAAGTAAACAAAAACAAAAATGAATAGAAGGGAACATCACAAACGCTTTACGTAGAGTTACCATTAACTTTTATTGATTGTGACAGCGTTACTCCAGGATACCTCAGTGGTCAAATGACCACGCGTTTTGCATGTTATTTTAAGTATTTACTTCAATTAAGAAGCTAGTTTACGTATAAACTTTTATCATCATACTGCACTTATGGAATCATATTCGGCCGACCCGCCGCCTCTGAATCGATCAACTACCTCAGCCAAAACCGCAACCACAGAATCAACTACTACAAAATGGGCATGCCCAAGAAGCACAGAATCCCGTTCCTCCGCAACAGGCCGTTCAGGACGCTTTTGGCGGTCACGCCGAAGTAGTAGGTAATACTTTTCGTCTGTGTTCCTCCTTCAACGTGCAGCTATGGCGTTTTTACTTTATTGGTTATAGTCGCTCACGGTTTTGATTTAAATGTTGTTGCTTCTGCCATTATTCAGTACCGTGTGTAGACACTTAAACGTTGGTCATTGATTTGGCAAAGTTCAGCCACGTGTGAAGTTGGTCGCTCAAAATACTAGTTAGGTGTCTGGTAAAGTTGAACGATGTATTATGTCACTTAAAACACTCGTTAATTATTTCGCAAAGGTTCAAAGATGAGTGAAGTCGCTCAAAATGCTAGTTAGGTATCTGGCAAAATTCAGCGACGAGTGAGGTCGCTCGAAATACTTGTTAATTATTTGGCCAAAGTTCAGCGGCGAGTGAGGTCGCTCGAAATACTCATTATTTGGCAAAATTCGGCGATCGCGTGTGTTGTCATGGTTGAGGTCCCCTCCCACTTCCCCATGCTAAGCCGCCTCGATGGGGTTATCTAATACCCTTCATTACTCTGTCCCTGGAGGGGGTATTTCGGGCCTACTTCGTTTCGGGTTATTTCCCTTCTCTAGCACACCTTTTCTCTACGCCTTCGTTTAATTCCGGCTTCCTATTTTCTTCAGCATTTATCGCCTGGGGACCGTGAAAACTTGTTCAGTAAATGTTTATTGGTTCTTACTGCAACGGAGACACCCCGAGCGCAGAAGCGGCGTTATTGCTACCCGAATCGGTGGCCGAGTTATTGTATCTCTCCAACCTCGAAGCCTAGAGTTCTGAGTTTTGGGAGAGTAGGTCCTCGATTCCATCGAACTATCTATTCTCTTTTCCTGTTTCCCCGCATCCCGAGCTATTAGTCGGCGCTTGATTACGAGGTAGTTGGGAACAGTTGCCGGAGGGCCGATTTTTCCCCATATCTTATTCCCTTCGTGCCTAGGGCTTTGTAGGCGAATTCTCATAGTGAAAATATATAACTCTTTCCATTGGTTTTTGGGCTACCTCAAACCTATACTTTATAGACCATGCATCTGCATTTGTTTTTGTCTTACCTTGTTCACTGCTCTCTTCCAGCATACGGCTTCCGGAACTGGCAGGCTACATCTGTATTCGCCAGAAACCTCTGGGAACGAAACCATTGCAAGTACGACCAGCAATATCAGAAGGGATCTCATCGTGCTACTGAACTACGAGGTTGAACTCACTGGAAAAACTGAAGCAAATTGTTGGTGCGAAGTTGCTCTTGTTAGACTTCTAAGAAGACTGATGTTTGAAGGTGGAAATCTTCAGCTTTATATGCAACATAAGCATAGTATCAAGGGAGTTGTAACGCGGTGATTGGTTAAAGAGCAGTGGCGGATCCAGGATTTTTCAAAGGGGGGTTCCGTTTCTTAAACTG